ATGAAAACACTTGGCATTCAGTCATTTTTAAGAATTTAAAAATATTTCTAAGAGTCTTATCTTTCCAGTAAAAAAATTAAAAATAATAAAATAGTATCGATCACCACTGACAAATGCTGTGAACTGTATTTGTAAGTTTGCTAGATAATGCATAACAAATGCATCCCCCCATCCATAAGGAAATAATATAGCTTACCCTAATTCATCTTGCATTTCTGCTACTTGGTCCAATAAAATACTTAGTCGATCCCATCTCATATTTCCACATTCCTTATGGAAGTCAAAGGCAATGTACCTATCAAAAGAAAAGATATTTAGAGACTGCCCAGGGATCATTTATTTTCCTTCTATTAATAATACCTAATAAGCTGATTTTTCTTTCTATATCAGAGCATACATATTTCTTGGGAACACTGGAGCCTCCTTCACTCTGCATTTACACACACTCACATACCACACACATATACATACATACACATACGCACCCCACATTCTCATGCTCATACCTATTCAGAGGAAAAAAATATATACATATATCTGAATACACACACACACACACACACACACACACACACACACACACACACCCCACACACACATATCTATCTTCACATGTTCTTCTAGGGACCCCCAGAAAGGAGTAGAGAAGAAAAGCAAACACCAGTGGAGTGCAAGTATAGTAATCAGGTTGGCACTGTAAAGAGGACTAGTCCAACTGAGTATCTAGCATATATTTATTCTCTATCCCCATGTGCAAAGAATAGGGTCCTTTTTTATTGTTTTACAAATCAATTAAATGTTCAAAATGGTCAAACTCAATTCAGTCCGAAGAGGATTAGTGTGGGTATCTGTTGTGTACCAGCGGTTGGAGAAGCACAGAGGACAGGATAGTTTCCGCTGCGGTTAGTTACTGGCCATCGTAACAAAAAATTCACTTTCCTTTGTCAATATATATCACACACACATGTGGTAGAGCTAAATTCCTTGTTTGTCAATCTTTAATAAGCTGTTTTCAGTTGTCTAATATTTAAGAGGCACAATTCTAAAAGTTAGAAGATATCCAACAGTTCTGGTGTCCTACCATGAGCTGAAAAAGATGCCCCTTGACTCATTAAAACCAAGTTCTGAATGTCAAGGGAGGAAGCAAGTGCAGAGAACCTGAGCACCACAGATACATATAGAATCTCATATATTTTACTTCTGTCTCATATATTTTACTTCTGTCTCATATATTTTACTTCTGCTGAGGATCGAGACAAGACATAAAGCAGGAGGACTAGAAGGACATCATACTCTTCTCATCTGCAGAGTGAAAATTCAGATGAAGCGTCTGCTCTTGTGTGACTCCCTGGGCTCCAACAGACTGAAGGGGCATCAACAGAGCGTGGGCTTCCAGCAGATAAAGAGAGCCTGCCACTTCAGTGGTTACCTTTGGTGAGAGTGGTGTCCTTAGAAATTAGCACAAAAATAGAGGTTAGCCAACTGAGAGGCTGACAACTTTGGGAAAGCAAAGGGTGGGAGGAGGATTTTCAATGGCAACTCCAATAAAAGTGGCAGTATGACAGTTATTTTTGGAGTGAGAACACCACAAGTAATAGTTCTACACTTGTTTAAAGAATTTAAGCAGGCACAAAGTTTCAGTTAAGCAAAACGAAAATTCTAGGGATCTACCATAGAATATTATACCTATTGCCAACAATACTGTTTTGGCATTGTACATTTAAAAATTTAAGAAGGCAGATTTTATGTTAAATATTCTTACCACAATAAAATTGAGGAAAAAAGAAAAAAAATCAAAAAACAAAAAACAACAACAGCAAAGAATTTAAGTAGCTTACTAGCACCTAAATGCACTTGGATTAGGTTGGTATCCTTGTTCTAAATCATATTTATATTTTCTAAGAATGAGTTACATAGTTGTATTTGGTGGCAAATAATTTAAAATATATTATTTTACTTCTGAACCGAACAGTCGAGCAGTTCTACTTCTTTCCAAGTTCTATGAAGAAATCCTCA